TCTTTTATGCACCCAAAGCTATAATATATTTAATTTTGGTGAGTACACTTTAAAAACTATAAACTGGGAAGAACAGAACAGGAAGCATCTAGAAACCACGTGACCTAGGGTTAAGAAACTGCTGTAGGAACTGAAAGAGACTAAGTGGTATTGATGGGTGTCTTCAAGTAAATTGGTGGCCCTGGTAGAAAAGAGAATTGTTCATTTGTCCTAGAGAATAGCCTAGATATGATGATTGTAAGTTACCAGGCAGGCAAATTTAAATATCAAGAAAAAGCCCAGCCGGGCGTGGCTCCGCGGTTAAGCATCGACCTAGGATCCAGGCGATCAGGGTTCGATTCCCGGTCAGGGTACATGCCCGGGTTGTGGGCTGCAGCTGATCAATGACTCTCTCATCATTGATGTTTCTATCTCTCCCTCTCCTTTCCTCTCTCTGAAATCAATAAAGATATATATTAAAAAAACAAAACAAAACTTTTAAATATCGAGAAAAAAATTCACCCAGCAATGGAATGACATAGGAGCCTCTCTCCATACCTCAGTCTGTCACCTGTAATATAGATACAATGCCTGCCCCCTATGAAGGTGGTTGTGAGGATTCAATGAGATGTCTCTGCCCTCCTATATATGACATACACATTGATGAGGTAATCAAGCAAAAATTTCAATGAATATATTCAAAGTTGATTTGAGTGGGTTAGGTTAAAAGGCTTTTAAAATGCAAACCTATAGTCAAACACAAACTGAACAATCTGTCTTAAATCTATTTAAAAAGAATAGATTACTGATATATGCAAAATGGACATCTCAAATGCATCATGGTGAAAGAAACCAGGCTCAAAAGGCTATATATTGTTTGAATCCAGGTATATGATATTGGTGCAAAAACGAAATTACAGAGACGGAAAACAGATCAGTGGTTGCCAAGAATTAGGGGAGAGGACAGAGGTGTTGACTACAAAGAGACACAGGGAAAGTTTTGAGGGGAGGGTGGGTGGAACCTTGATTGCAATGAACGGTATACATGTCAAAACTTGCAGAACTGTATACTTTAAAAGGGTGAATTTTAGTATATGTAAATACCTTAATTTAAAAAGTGGGGGAAACTTTTTAAATCTCTCCCTTACTTAGGTTTTCTTATAGTCTTTGCTTGCTTAGGATTTAATTATTGTAACATCAGTTCAGCATTATCTTTGTCTGTCCCAGTGACCAAACTGAGCTTTCTACACTTAAGAGATCCAGCGGCCTAGTAAAAGCAGTCAAAGATGAATGGCAATATTCCTTCTACTTATTTCACTCATTTCTGCTATTGACTGCTGGACTACAGCATAACCCTCTATTTAGAAAACAGCAAAATCATACGATCCCTCTCAGAAATTTCTATTGGATCAAGAGTCAACAACCTTTCAAGAGCCATGTGGCAGTTTCCTAACAAAATTAATCTATTTTTCTCTTCTAAATCACTACTGACTGAGCAAGCAATGTATTTACAATAGTTACACTTCGATTCTAATTTTAACTAGTCATGCAAGTTCCCAGAGATTTGCAAATAATGGAAGTCAGTGACTTTGATGCTGCCTGGGTGAGAGAACAAGTGACAAAAGCACAAGTGACAAAAGCACTAATCAGATCAGAGCAAAAACAAAAAAATTCAAAACCAGATTGGAGAAGAAAACTTTCAGAATGTAAACAGAAACAAAGGGGAAAATGTCTTATCCCCCCCCCACCCCACCCCACCCCGTCTCATCTAAAACAGCATGTTCTCCTGCCATCATCGAGAATCTAGAACTCATATTGCTCACTCACTTCGGGATATGGATAACTCCAGAATGCAACTTTCTGAACTGACTGGATTTATTTCTGCAGCACTTCATTACAAATGAGCTAACATTTGACCATTAATCTAAAACACGTAAGGCCATCTTGACACATGAAATTGTCACCCTTTATTATTAATCCTCACCCAAGGATATTTTTCCCATTGCTTTTCAGAGTGGGAGAAACATCGATGTGCCCCAACTGGAACTGAGCCTGCAACAGAGGTATGTGCCCTTGATGAAAATCAAACCAGAGGCTCTTCAGTCCATGGGAGGACACTCTAACTACTGAACCTAACCTGCTAGGGCGAAATGATCACCCCTAAAAAAGAAGGAAATTACTGCCCCTAGCGTTGCCCAGCTCAGGAATTGTGACTACTACAGCCAAGAAAAGCTGCTTCTGGCATGAGCTCAGTGCTCAACTCGGCAGAAAAGGTTACCAAGGTAAATAAACTTAGCAAAAAAATAAAATCCATAGTCCTGGTAATTCTTCAGGATTTTTACACCCCGTACTGAAAATTACTAAAAATCAAGATCTCTTCACCAGATCTGTAGTCAGTAGCTTTTTCTGGGCAGAACCAGAACTCAACCAAATGAATGTGTTCTTGAAAAAACTGCTTCTGCAGTGCCAGTCTTGTTGCTACATCAGAACCTAGTCAACCTCCTAGTTTAGCAATTTAACATTGACACTTTCCTGCAAAATTAGTCAATTTACATTTTGTCTAAAAGAAATATTAAAACAAAAAAACCAAAAAACCCCAAGGCGATTTTAGTAGTGTTAGTGCAATGGGGAACTTTTTGTTACCTGCAGATAATCTGATCATAGATATTTAAAAATCAGAATCTCTAGTTGAACGAAATCTTTTGCAATCACCACAGGAAGATATAAATACTAAGCACTAAAACCCCAAGGTAATTTTGTTACCAAGCTAATGTTGACAAAGTAATAACCTTATGCAGCATTCTTCATAAAGCAATGAGACTGGGTTAAATGTTCGTTCAGAATAAATTGTCACTACTAGACTGGGTTCTTGACTCAGATAGCTGAGTTCTTGATGCATCCCGAGATTTGGGAGGTAAATTACCAATAGGATTAACTACAGGAAAGGTGAGGGCATAAACTATTCTGAAATGACCAAAAACCTGGTCATTTTGCATTGCCTATTCTGGGAATAGAAGTTTAAAAAATCATGTCTGAAAGGCAATCTGTTTAACTCCTGAACCAGACTGCCTTTCCCATTTTCTTTCATATCCTAGAACCACACCAGAATTCCTGAGAATAAATTTCAACAAGATCTTGTCAGAAATCTTTACATAGGTATTACAACAGATGGACAATTTAAAATATTTAGGGGGGGCGGAGAGAAAAATGATTTTAAAGTACCAGTTTGTGCATGAAACTTTTGTAAAGCCACTTTAAAATACACAAGGAAATGCAGTTAAGTGTAGGAACTCTGAAGAGCTAAAATAAAACTTTGTCCATGAATGTATTCCATGTAGTGACCAGTAGGTGGTGTTCAAACCAAGCAATTGTCTTAAGCCTGGATTCTGTGGAAAGGAAGCTAGCAACTAGATAAACTCATTTCCTGTTCTGGTTGCCCTCCTTAAGTGGGAGCTATTCTTTGGAGTTAAACATTGATGGGGGAAGTTTTAACAATCTTATTCTAGTAAACCCTACAGCTTTATCAAATTTGCTTTTATTTCTATCAGCTACCACTGATTGGCCCGCCGTTTTAAAACCTTAAATATTTTGTCATCTGTACAAATAAGCAACACATTTGTAAAAACTTAAGGGGGAACAGTTGCTTCATGGAACTAAGGGAGAAATCTTTGTCTTTTTACACCCCTTATCACTGCTTCCGCTAGTAATGGCAAGGCATTTTACCTATTTTAGAATTTAAGATAAAAAAACTTCAAACTGATTGGCAATTTGAAAATCCTTACCTAATAGGACACATTCCATTTAGGATTAGAACTCTTAACCTTTATAGAACACACAAATTGTGATCCTGCCACTTTCTGCTGGATACTATATATTTCACAGGATTAAAATTTTCAGATTCATCAAATTCCCTTTTCAAGTATTTCCATTTACCAACTATCAATCAGTTTCCCGGATGGTTGTCACACCCAAGTAAACCAATTCAACTTAACTATAAGCAATTGCTGCATGCAAATTACAAAATTATCCAACTAGTTTGGAAGGGTTCACTTTCATCCTGCCCAACTGTCAAATCTTAGCAACTTCAAACTAACTTTCACTAAGGTAAGTTTTTGAAATGGCACGGAGCAAAATTTCAAGAACATTTTTAAACTTCTTTCCTCTCAGGCTAATTTGCCACTACCTATCTTTAAACTCAGTTCAGTCTTCAACGTTTGTTCACCCAACCTTTTTTTAGATGACAATTCCTATTGGAAGTGGACTTTGAAATACTTAAGTGACAAAACACACTCAACTTCCAGCATCATTTATTTTTCCTAGAATCTGGATACAATTAGCTGTAGGCAAGACAGTACTCAATACTATTTAAGCCTCACTTTAGGTTCTTAAGCTACCTCAAGTATTTGTAAATGTGAATTCACATCCCAGTAACACCGGAAAACTAAAATTTGACATACCAACAAATTTACTCAATATTGATGTAACTACAAAATTTTATATGGTAACATGTGGACTTTAATATAACAGAATTTGGCCTTTATAAACTAGTTTACACATAACAAAGTTACTGATTATCTGTCCTAACCTATTTAGTGTTACACCAACAGATCCCCTCCCATAGCTTTTACTATGTAAACAGGATTCCTCCCCTTAAGTGAAAAACAAAAAACCCCCCAACCCCCAAAGTTCCCACCCAGAAAAAAGTTAACAGAATAATCCAATGCTAAAGTATCAGCAGATATAACACCAGAGATAGATCATGGGCAACTCTGAGGTCTTCTAAGTAGTATAACAGAAAGTTACAGTGTTGACCAAAAGAACACACAGGTTTCTCATTAAACTTTGTTTTAATGGGTCTCAAAATTCTGTGACAGATTTTTGGTCAAGTTGTTTCCATTAAAAAGTACTGATTTTAAAAACTAATAACTTAAAAACTGCCACACACACAAAAAAAACCAAATGGTCCACAAAACATTCTCCTTTCCTTCTGAAGGTTTTACGNCCAAATGGCCCACAAAACATTCTCCTTTCCTTCTGAAGGTTTTACGATGCATTGTAATCATTAACCAGTCTTTTACTATTAAACTTAAATGGCCAATTGAGACAAACAGTTCTGAGACCGTTCTTCCACCACTGATTAAGACTGGGGTGGCAGGTATTGGGGATAATATTCATTTAGCCTTCTGAGCTTTCTGGGCAGACTTGGTGACTTTGCCAGCTCCAGCTGCCTTCTTGTCCACTGCTTTGATGACACCAACAGCAACTGTCTGTCTCATGTCACGAACAGCAAAACGGCCTATTAAAACAAATGTCATATTACCATTAGAAACACTTAGTAACACAGAAGGAAGCTTTCATCATAAGTAAAACTTGAATTAGTCAGTCTTACCCAGAGGAGGGTAGTCAGAGAAGCTCTCAACACACATGGGCTTGCCGGGCACCATATCAACGATGGCAGCATCACCAGATTTCAAAAACTTAGGGCCATCTTCCAGCTTTTTCCCAGAACGACGATCAATCTTCTCCTTCAGCTCAGCAAATTTGCAAGCAATATGAGCTGTGTGACAATCCAGCACAGGTGCATATCCAGCACTGATTTGGCCTGGATGGTTCAGGATAATCACCTTGGAGAAAAGATTTACATTTATTTCCTGAGTCTCAAAAGACACTTAAAGCTCTAGAAGTTAAGAGCATGACATTTAAAGTGTTACCTGAGCCGTGAAGCCAGCTGCTTCCATTGGTGGGTCATTTTTGCTGTCACCAGCCACATTGCCACGACGAACATCTTTGACAGACACATTCTTGACATTGAAGCCCACATTGTCCCCAGGAAGAGCTTCACTCAAAGCTTCATGGTGCATTTCAACAGACTTTACTTCAGTTGTAACATTGACTGGAGCAAAGGTGACCACCATGCCGGGCTTGAGAACACCAGTCTCCACTCGGCCCACAGGGACAGTACCAATACCTAAAATGTTTAGGGTATACAGTTATAAATACCTCTGTGAAGAAACTGTAGCACCCATACAAGTTACATTCCGATATTAATCTTCAACTTACCACCAATTTTGTAGACATCCTGGAGGGGTAGACGCAGGGGCTTGTCAGTTGGACGAGTTGGTGGTAAGATGCAATCCAGAGCTTCAAGCAGTGTGGTTCCACTGGCATTGCCATCTTTACGGGTGACTTTCCATCCCTTGAACCAAGGCATCTAAAAGAAAAGATCATCCATTACTGTTACCTCCCAAATCTTGCCTCCTGTCCCGGGTTTTTTTTTCAACTATCTTGAAACTCACATTAGCACTTGGCTCAAGCATGTTGTCACCATTCCAACCAGAAATTGGCACAAATGCTACTGTGTCAGGGTTGTAGCCAATTTTCTTAATGTAGGTGCTGACTTCTTTAACAATTTCCTCGTATCTCTTCTGGCTGTAGGGTGGCTCAGTGGAATCCATTTTGTTAACACCAACAATCAGTTGTTTCACACCCAGTGTGTAAGCCAGAAGGGCATGTTCACGGGTCTGCCCATTCTTGGAGATACCTGCTTCAAATTCACCAACACCAGCAGCAACAATCAGGACAGCACAGTCAGCCTTTAAAAGACAACAAGGCCATATCCTATTAAATGCGAGCCCTTCAGAAAGATGAGCCCAATGTAAAGGAAAGGCCCGGAGTAATTTTCAGAATGAATTCTACAAACCTGAGATGTGCCTGTAATCATGTTTTTGATGAAGTCTCTGTGTCCCGGGGCATCAATGATGGTCACATAATACTTGCTGGTCTCGAATTTCCACAGGGAGATATCAATGGTGATACCACGCTCACGTTCAGCTTTCAGTTTATCCAAGACCCAGGCATACTTGAAGGAGCCCTTCCCCATCTGTAAGGATTAAGAATGGTTACTTGGCAACTAAGACATGCTCCAACTCCAACTTGAAATTCCTTATCCCACTATTTCGCAGAAATGCTCCATTCCAGTTCACAACCATTAAAGCCAGGTGTCTACCTTATTCTCAGAACACAGTTAGGGAGCAAAGTGACTCAAAGCATGTTAGCTTATACCTTAACTAGTATGACATGCAAATATAGACTGGAGACTATTTTTTGGAAATTACCACTTAATGTACTTAATGGCACTTATTTTAATTATCTACATTAATGTACCTACCTCAGCTGCCTCCTTCTCAAATTTTTCGATGGTTCTTTTGTCGATCCCACCACATTTGTAGATCAGATGGCCAGTAGTGGTAGACTTGCCGGAATCTACGTGTCCAATGACGACAATGTTGATATGAGTCTTTTCCTTTCCCATTTTGGGTTTGTTAGTGGTGGTTTTCAAGACACCTAAATTTGAAAGAAAAAAACAAAAAAACTTTAAACCCCGGTCCCAAAGGCTTGAGAATAAACCACGATCCAAACTTAAAGGGCAAATTCCAAGGAGAATTATAACCAATGCCAAGCTGGCCCAACTGTGGTCTCCACCCACCAAGTGTGGAGAAACTCCATAGCGTTAAGTCCCCTCCCCCAACCGGAGAAGCTCCGCTCCACAGGCCAGGGTAGAAATCGAGGTGCCAGGACGGGCCGGCACACAGTGGGGTCACAGGAAGCAGCAGCTGAGGGGGGAAAGGCCCTCTTCCTTTGTGCGAGTGACTCACCCGCCCGCCCCGGCCGCCCGTCCTCCATTTTGAGCTCCCTGCACAGCGCCGGGAGCGGCCATCTTTCCGCGCACGCAACTGGTGCGAGCGGACGGGCCGGCCTTGCCGCCGAGGTAGGTGGCACAAGGCGGCGCGAGCCTGGCGCCGCCGGCCCAGATCCACTGCACGGGACTCTCCGCCGTCCACCCGGGGCCGCTGACTGCGCACACACCGCCTCGCCGGACATGTGCGCCGCGCCGAGGGCCCCGTCACCACCCTCCGCTACGAGCGGGGGCCCCACACCCAGAGGACCCGACGAGCGCCAAAGAGCCCATCCTGCCGAGATCCCACCCCACCTCGGCTAAACTACCTCGTCAGAAAAAATAGATGCGTTCCCTGAAAATCCAAATGGCCGGAGACTAGGATAACAGGACAGGCGACAAGGTGCAGCGGGATTCGCACGCGGCGGGCAGGGCGCGCAAACCAGGCCTCAACTCAGGCCCGAGGCTTAGAGGGCGCTCCCGAAAAAAGCGCAAGGCCTCGAACTGTCCCACTTACGACCCGAAATTCGGGGCCAAGAACAGAGCAAAGTGTCTCCGCGACACGGCAGGAGAGAAAGGCACGCGAGGGCCGCAGCCCGCCCCAGGAGGCCAGGCCCGCGGAAGCCACGCCCGGTACTCACCTGTGTTCTGGCGGCAAACCCGTTGCGAAAAAGAACGTTCAGAAGGACTACGGCACTTATATACGGCTCTCCCCCCACCCTCGGGGAAAAGGGCGGAGCTAGTACACGACACGACTTTCCCAGTTTACCCCGCGCCACCTCCACCAGGCACCCGAGCGAACGCCGTCCCCTTCCCCCACTGCCCGGGGACCGTGGGCGATGTGCGTTCAGCCTACTGAAGGGCACACGTCGCCTCGCGCATGCTCCTCTCGACCCCGGTGATGACGAGAGCGAAGGGTGGGAGGCGGGGACGAGAGATCCCTCGATTCTAGGTTAGTGGGAGTTTACCGACGGTCCCTGGGATTTCCCCAGGCAAAGGCAAGTCTTCCTTTTGTATGAATTACTCTCGGCAGCAGCTGGGGGTGGGGCGGCCCGCAGACGGTGGGGCGGGGATGCTGAGAATCGTCCCTCTACTGTCCTTGGTTTCACTGCGAAGATGATGTCGAGTCTGGGGGTATCCCTTCACCCCGCGGTAC